CCTTGCTGGGGGCTGGAGCGGCCGCGCCCGCGGGGTTGGAAGTTTGCGGCCACTCCGGGCACGTGTGGCCGCTGGGGCCGGCCCCTCCACCCGCCTTGGCTGTTCCCCGCCATGAGGAAGCCAGAGAAAACCGGGACCTTTGGGGTAGTCCTTCTCCCCGTTTCCTTCCTTTCTTCTCTTCCCGCCCCGGCCCGCTGGCCGGACCCCTCGTACCGCAGCAGTTCCCACGTGCTTTATATCGCGGCAATGCGGGATCGTATCGTGATAACGGGATCCACGTTCTCGCACATGAATTGTGCCTTTCTCGTGGTCTGTGTAATGACTTGCTCAGGCGCAGAACGCATGATGAATTACCATGCGGGATGTGCTACTTACACACATGGATACAATGTATAAAACTTTGGCTAACGTTTCTTTTCCTGTTTTTTAGAAACAGATGTGAAGTAACTCCTTTCTCGCTTTTTTTTTTTTTTCATGCTGGAACGCTGGGGACATAAAACTGGCAATAGCTTGTGTAACATTGTTGATACAATTGGATTTTATTTTGCACCATTTTTTACCTATTTTTCCCTCGCCCCCTCTTTTTTCTTTTGTTTACTATTTAGTAAAAATAGGCTGCTTTATTTCTGTTGCTTTATGCATACATGGTGTATACCTTCTCTGTAAAGGACATTGTGAATAGAGCCTGTAAGAGTGGACTCTTCCATTTGTAAAGTAAAAATACGATTTAAATGTCATCTATGTGAAGACTGTTTTTCCTTTCTGTTACTCAAGCAACAAAAAAACATAACCCAAACACAAATCAGTTTCCTTGACCTGAGATAGCTGTTGTGTGGCTTTGTTAAACTTGCATATGAATCTCCCTTCTAGGCTTGTGTGCTGAGTGCTTCTTAGCAGTCCGTATGTATGAAGTACTAGAGATGCTTATCATTTACTTACTAGTCACATACTAAAAAACAGTCTTTAGCTTAATGAATGCTCTGGCAGGTTCCTAAACAACTTAAATAGGAAGTATTATTTTGGCTATTTACCTGTAATTTAATGTTCCTTGAGGAGTCTTAAAGCAAGAAACCTAAATTATTCCATGAGTGTTACAGCTGTGCCTCAAAATATCTTTGAGTGTGTTGGTTGGGGGTGATTCTAATACATAAGACAGAATGATAAACTCAGGATGTAGTGTGTCCCGTAAGATGGATTAGGTGGATGTTGTGTGGATTTTTTTTCTAATTTTCCTATTGACAATAGGTTATTAGGCATTAAGAAGTAGAAGGGGTTTAGTAGCATAAAACACATTATGGAGGAAAAGTTAATTACTTTTAAAAGAAGAAATTACTTTTCCATAACCAAGAGCTATTACTCCCAAGGCCAAGCCTCTGCACAAGTCGTAAGTGGTAGGATTAAAACACCTAGCACTGCATGAGCTTCTTTTTGTTTCTTAGTGTAACTGCACATTGACTTGAAAGTCATTTGTTTTCAGATATAATCATATTTCTCTACTGTTTGGGATATTTCAGTTACTAAGATCTATTTGCTGATAAGTCATAAATGTTTTAAACACAGATGTGAGTGCTTCAGGGTTTGGGTACATAGCAAGTTTGTGTTATCTTTTTTTCTCCTCAGGAAGCACATGAGGAGCATGATACTTCTACTGAAAATGCAGATGATTCTAACCACGATCCTCAGTTTGAGCCCATAGTTTCTCTTCCAGAGCAAGAAATAAAAACTCTGGAAGAGGATGAGGAAGAACTCTTTAAGATGTGAGTAGAATATTTCTCACTCTTATCTGAATGTTCATTAGGCTTAAACTTGACAGTGTTTATTAAAAGCTGCATAACTTGCAGCAATCTCTGTATGAAGGGGTAATCTGCCTTGGTCTGCACGGTGGTGGCAGACATTGAGTGGGGAGTGATTGATGTTTCCCCAAGAAAATGGATTCTGGAACCATAGAAGGGAGCTGATACTGCAAATCTGGCTTTAGGATTGTTTGGATAAAAGACAACAACTTAGGTAATGATTTTTGAAATTGTAATCATGTGTGAATGTGAAGCGAGTGTCTTGGGAGGAGGGGAATGAGATGTACGTGGTGTTGCTGCCATGCATCCCTGGTGAAGAGTAATGTACAAGGTACTGAAATAACAAAAGCAACAGCTGCAGTACACTATTGGGGCATTTGTGGCAGTTCCTGTACGTTGTCTTCAACACAGTTCATCCTTAGATTATGCTTATTGTCAGATCAGGATGGTTTGATCTGCCTGAAGAAAAATGTAGTCTAAAGGCTTAAGAGCATTTTGAATTTGATCCCTGATGTGCTTGCTTTAAATAGGTTTAAAAAATTCTGCTTTTACTTAATAACAGAATGGTATTGCTCATCTGGAAGAGAGATCTGAGTTCTCCTTGTACAGATTCTGATAATAACTAAAGTGATGGTCAGTTTCTAACAGGTAGTGAGATGAACTCTGGCTATAGCAAAACCTGTTAATTAGCTATGTGAATTTAAAAGGTTACCTACACCGAATATGTTCATCATCCCCTAAGAGTATCCAGAACCTGTTGAATTTTAGTACAGTTATTACATAATTCCTAATATTTAAGATTTGGATTTATTATATCAGTTTCTGAATGTGTATATTGAAGTAGAACAGGGGATCTTATTAAAGAAATTGTTTTCTTATTGTGTGTGTCTTTTATAAAGAACTGAGCTGTTCGGTCAGGTGTGGTGTTTTAATAAATGTTTTAGTACATGCAGGCTAATTAAATTTTCTGTTCTCCAAGGCGAGCAAAGCTCTTCCGGTTTGCATCTGAGAATGACCTTCCAGAATGGAAAGAACGAGGAACTGGTGATGTGAAACTCTTGAAACACAAGGAGAAGGGAACAATTCGCCTCCTCATGCGGAGGGATAAAACCCTAAAAATCTGTGCAAACCATTACAGTATGTTATACATTGCTAAACTTATTCTTGATTTAAAAAATAAGATGGTAGAATTTTAGTATGGTTGTCTCTTGCTCTTCATACAAGGCATACAGGCATCAAAAAACATGGGGGGTTAATTGTATTAATGGAAGGAAGCTGGAGGTTTTTTCCTTCAGAGTCTAATAGTGCTGTAAGACTAACTAAAGTCACTTTAAAATTCAGCTGTGATAGACAGGCATTATATGATTACTTCCAGTGTGTGTGTGTGTGATTTTAATGATTAATCCAGTGTAGAACATGTAAGCCTTAATACTGTTTGGAATAAGAATTTAATATATGCTGGCTTGCTCTTGTAAAACCATGATGTAATAATTTACTACTTTGAGCTAAATGTTAGAATTTCCAAAACCGATCCTTAACTATCAGAAAACAAGAGACTGAGGTGCTAAAAATCTGAGTCTGCCTTTCTCTGCTTGTGAAATAAACTGAAATGAACATGTTATATTGGGCTGAGTCATTAAAAAAAGAATCCTCTTTGAATTAAAAAAAAAAAACATGAAAGAGCAAGACAGACTTGAAAGTCAGCACAACTTGCAACAAGTAGACCAATTGGGTAATACTTTGCTTGCTTTGGTGATATTCAGATATTTATATGAGGAATCTGTAGTGTTCTGTGGAGTTAAACTACATTTATATAACTTGAAATAAGAAGTAGCTTAATGCAAACCTCAATAATGCTGCTTACCAGGAGGAATAAACCTTTTGTTTAGGGAAATAATTGTTGCACATAGAAAAACAGAATCGATGAATTTATAGTATTCATGTCAAAAGTTGTTTAGGTTTTTTTTCCTGAAAAAGATGCTCTCCATATAGATTTGTTTATTGAATTTATGCTGACTCACAGTCAGACAAAAGAACTCTCTTTGTTTTTGCAAAGCATTAAATGGAGCAAAATGTATTTTGATCTCTAGATGTTAAAAATGCAGGGAAGGGACTCTTCAGATTTCTCCTGAACTAGACAGGGCCAAAGGAGAAAAAAAGCCCTGCTTAAACTTTGCATGTCTGTAATGTAACAAGTCTTAAGGTACTGTGGGAAGTAACATTTTAACTTCTCCAGTCCGTCGGGTGAGGTAATTGTAGTGTCTTGGAGAGACAGGGCCCCATATACTGGGAGGGAACAAACAGATGGAAAAGATGCTGTTTACACTTTGCGGCACTGCAGAATTCTGTATTGTCTTGTAGTACAGCTTTAAACTGATGGGAAAGGTAATTAACTTGATGACTAATTGAAGGAATAATGCTTTTTAAAATTAATATTGGAAGTAGTTTTGGTGTGCAGAAGAAGAATGAGTGTTTGTCTGGATGCCTTTTCCTCCTGAATAATTTGTCTGTACTTCAGAGCTGTTCTCAGTGACTGCATCTCTTAGTATCACAGTTATCTGTTTTAAGCAAAAATTGAATCTATCTCTTTTTCCTAACAATAGTGAATCCAGCATCCTCTCACACAGTAATGGCCTTGCATGATTTTATTTGACAATGTAAGGAAAAGTATATATGAACACCACTGTCTTGTATTTATCCTGAAGTAATTCTGTGTCAAGTGCTTTATGTAAGCACTGCAGCCTGTTGTCACTGAGATTTATGGAGGCTGGTGTGGAAAGCATTTGCTGTTGTGCTCTGTACATCTTTTAATGCTTTCCTTTCAGTCACACCCTTAATGGAGCTGAAGCCTAATGCTGGAAGCGACAGGGCATGGGTCTGGAACACACATGCTGACTTTGCAGATGAGAGCCCCAAGCCTGAACTTCTGGCAATCCGATTTCTAAACGCAGAGAGTGAGTGGACTGGCACTGAACTTATACTGGTTGTAAACTGTGGTTTCTCTGCTTGTATAAATGCTGCTCTAAGCCATTATTGGAGATGTACCCCTGCATGATAGTGTTAGCTAATTAATTCTTTATCTGAGAGAAGTCTGTTAATCATGTAACCATATCTGTTTACAAACAGTGTAGTAATTAGATCTGCAGTAATATTTGTACAGTTTCTGTCCTAGGCACTTTTTTAACCTAAGCCATTTCATGTAAGTGCAATGCCAATTAGAATAAAACTAAAGGCAGTTAAGAGACTCACTTGCAGCTCACTTTCATGTAATTCTGGTGCTCAGTTGTAGTTAGGATTAGATTTTTGCATTAGAAACAAGGAAATCCTGATCTGATACTTCTGGTCTGTCTGCATTAGGAGAACATCTGGGTTGGTTTTTCTTTTTTTAATGAAGTATGTAGTTTCTTCTTTGTTTTGACTAAATGGAACCCTCAGTGCAAAATTCCAGTCATACCCATCATGTCAGTGAATTTTGTAGGTGACTACACCGACTACCAGGAAAGTAACTCTAGTAGTGGATCAACTAGGATTACATGAAAGAAGTGTTTGGAGGCAGAGGAGGTTTATGATGTTTTGTTTTGTTGTTGGTTTGTTTTTGGGTTTTTTTAAAAGAAGCAAAATAAAAAAGTGTTGCATTCTTTGCTTTACAATTTGCCAAACAAGTTTAGTATGTTAGCCTCCTTTTCTCATTACATACTAGATGGATCTTAAGGTGGTTATATATTTTAAAACTTAATGGATTTGGCTACATCAGGAAAGAACTTGGTATATCTTGCCTTTCTCCTTTGCCTTCAGTCTCCAGTGTTATTTTGTTTAGCCAAATAAACCTCCTGACTAGTGCTTGCTTCATGATCAAGTAGAAAATGAAAGGGTAACTACTTGCTCATCTCTGAAGTCTTCCCCTCTTTCTGGTAGAAGCTGTTCAGCTTACTGAATGGTCTGTCTTGAGGGAGTAGGCCTTTTTTCCTGTTCGCCCTTTGCAGTACTGACTAAGCAACTGACAGGTGAACAGACATAAGTTTGACCTTGGGGTGTCTCTGCTGTTTGAGATGCTTGGAAAGGAATTGATACAAACACTTCCTGGACTAGTTACAAAGTGCCTTCAGAATTCCTGTGGGCCAACAGTGACCTCCTGTGGTCAGCCAGACCAGCCTGGGATACCAGGCTCGTATCACCTTGGTTATTCTGGTGTCAGGAAGATCCTTGCCCAATCCCTTGTTGCTTTTATTACTTGTGTAGAGACATTATTGAAATTTGATCAGCTGCTTGGAATGGTTGTTGAATTGAGCGGTGGCTTAGACCAAAGGTAATGAAGATTATGCGTTGTTGGCTCTTGCAGTGAGGAATAACCCTCACTGGTTACAATGAGGTACAGAGTCTGAATGCTGTACTGGTAAAACAGGCATTATCTTCCTTTGCTGATGCTAAGAGCCCCCAGTTGTGGTCAGGTTGTGGAAAACTCTTAGGGTATAACACAGCTGGCAAAAATAGCAGTTCAAAGCTAATTCTCAGTCTTTTGCATACAGATAGTTCTATTAGCAGTCTCTGACATCATATTCCTATTCCTTTAGGCTACAGACAGCTGGGAGTTGCAATAACTACAAAACAGCTCCTGCTGGCATTACATTTTGAATATTTTGCAAAATAAGCTGCTTCAGTAAACTTGCTGAAGAAGATGAATTGCTTTTGCACAAAGATGTGATTGAAGAATTTTGCATCTTGTATGATTTACTAGATTACTTCATAAGTCCCTACAAATTTTGTTTACACAAAGCTTCTCCTGGGGTATCTTTCTTCAAGATTAGCAGTATTCAATGTTGTGAGATGGGAAAAGTAATGAAAAAATATTTTATCTTCACTGAAACAGATGCACAGAAATTCAAGGCAAAATTTGAAGAATGCAGGAATGAAGTAGGCAAGACAGCAAAGAAAGGTAAGGTAGTCTCAGTGTACTTGCTGCCACATTTCTGAGCTGTGTGAGTGGTTACAGTACCCTGGTGTGTTGTGTTCCAGCAGACTCACTCTGTGCTGAACTGCAGCCTTCAGTTCAGGTGCTTTTCTGTCTGCGAGAGTAAGAGCTCACAGGAGTGACGATGGCCTTCTTTCCTGTGGAAGGCTGTTACAGTTGCTGTTGGGACATGGCTGCTTTGGAAAGGCTGCCAAGGAAATATTTATGGCTTATAGTAAACAAATGAACTGTGAACACTGCAATCACAGTGCTCTTTCTCCCTTCCAGGTCCCTTTCCCAAATTTCGCAAATGTATAATCATGCAAGTACAATATTTAATGTTTTTTACAGTTATTAGTCTGTGTGAGGTTGTTCACAAGTCTCTAATAGATTATTGCACCTCCCTTTAGAACTGCCTCTGTGATAAGGTATCTCACCATGTAAATAAAATAAACATTTTTATCTTTCTTAAGTACAGACTACCAGTGCTCTGCAGTCAGCATTCTTCAAGATATTTAGATTGGAATTTTCCAGTCATAGGAATTCCCTTGCCCCAATTTCAAACTGGGGAACTTGACTTTGCTTTTTTTGGTTAAGATGACAAGAAGCTAAGTACTTCTCTGGATACTTTATTGGTAGCAGCACAGCTGGCCAGATGTTACACAGTCCTCAGTCCTTGTGATTAAGCCCTCGTGTAGCGATTAACGTATACAAGTGATGTTTCTTGAATTCTGATATCTGAAGTTATTTCCAGAGGAACAGAAATGGAATGAGTCACTCCAGTGGTCAGTGAAGAATATCTCCCCACCCCCTTCACCCTCTACTTCTTTACTCTTTCTAACAGGAAAATCCATTACTGCCTGTAAGTAATACTTTTCCTAACCGATCTTTCAGCAGGCACAGACAAAAATGATAGTGCTGATAAAGTTGCTGAAAAACTAGAAGAGCTTTCTGTAAAGGAAGAGAGCAGAGAATCTGAGAAGAAAGAGACCAAGGAAAAAACTGAAGAAAAGCAATAAAATCATCCTGGGCCTTGCAGTTTTTCCTTTACACTTTTCTTTTTTTTTTAGGGTTTTTTTTTTTTTTTTTAGGTTTTTTTTTTTTTTCATTTTTACAAGGGACTTTATATGGAACTGAATTAACATTCACATTGTTTTTTTCTAAGCTTTTGCCCTTTGGAAGGTGTCTTCAGAAAAATTCATTCCCCTGTCATGAAAATGTACTGTGCTAACATTCTTTTCCATAGTGGAAACACTTATTTATAGTCATCCAAAAGAGTGAATAAAACAAACTTGAAAACAGCATCAGGGGACAGAACTGAGTTTTCTGTATACTGTAAAGGTTTATGAATACACTTGTTTAGTTGAGCTACATATCATCATTCCTGTGGATTAAGTAGGTTAACAGATTTTGTCAGGAGGGAAGATTAGGATTGCATTTGTGTTTCTTATATGGCTTCTAAACTGTAATCTAACAGACCTTTCACACCTGCTGCTGTGTGTACCTGACCAGGGAATGTGCCTGTGCTTCTTGAAATGCAGCAGACTTCTGGAATCAGACAATTAGAGCATTCCTGGCATGCTGCTGCTGCTGATCCATCAGACAGTGAAAATAAAGATGGGGGACAAAATTTATTATGTCAGATTTGAGAAGCATTTTCCTCTCACAAAACAAAATCTGTGCTTCCCCCCCTCCCCAAATTTGTTAATAGTACAAAGGCTTGATTCTAGCAGAAAGTTCCTCCTGTTGTCCCAGATCTTCCATGGTGCTGCTTGCTGACTGAAGGCAGCAGCAGCAGCAGCCTGTTACACTGAGGTGTGTGCAAAGGAATCCGAGCTGTTTGAGTACCTTCCTGAGATTCCCTTTGCCTTTTTTCCCAGGGCTTTGGAGCTTGTGTTTTTTTACAAACTGGAGGAGTTTTGAACTTCTCAGATGTTTGGTAGGGAGGCTGTCCCTCTTGGAGAGCAGCAGGCTGGAATTCACTTTGGAACAGTTAATTGTAGTGCACATGCCCGAGGGACACCGTCCTTGCCAGAATGGGCAAATTGGTCAAATCTCTTCCCTGCAAATGTTTTCTGTTTATCCAGTTTCAAATTAGTGGTAGAGAGTAAGAAAAAAACCATAGTAAGCAATAAAATCAACACAATTAAGTCTGATAGATAAATTGAATTTTGTTGTTAAAGACCAATACAAGGATTGTGTAAGGATAAAGATGAAATTTTTATAATAGTTACGAAAATAATTATGAAAACTGGACAAAACTTGCTAAACTGTAAGACTGAATGATGTTAACATGGGATAGCAAGACCTTTTTGTTTTCATAAAGAGGCTTTTAACTCAGGTTCTGCCCTCTACCTGAGAAAAATATATTTTTTAAAAATAAATCAAGTCTTTCTTCTTAGCCCTGCCTTTTGATGCTACAGTGAACAAGTCTTAAATCTGGAACTGTAATTAAGGTACTCACTATATTCACACAAAATAATTCCTTTGGTGTTTTGCACATTCCCCTTCAACTACAGCAGATATCAGAAGTCTGTTAATTAACAAAGATGGTTGAAAGGCAAAATAAAATGCTCTTTAGTGTTTCTGGTTTGGAAATAACATGACAAAGCTATTTTGAAGTATTTAACATTTGAATGTAAAAGCCAAATCTTTATCCATGAATCACTGTAAATGATCTGATAATGTCAAACTGTGTCTAAATTGATAGAAATGACTTAAAAATTTCAAAATAAACTTAAATTTTCATTTAAAGGATTTGCTTTTTATTTTGAGAACTCTTACTGGGAATGCATTTTTGGTCTGCAGGGGCAAAGTGATGAAGGCAGCAAAATGGGCGAGTTGCATTTCACTTTCAAACATTGTACAGAAGGGGGGGACAGCACCTGAACAACTTAATTTGTCTTAATATTAGTTTTTGATGACTCCTGTTTAATGTCATTGCCCTCTCTTCTTCTCCTCTTACTTCAGAATCCTTAAATGACTCCAAGACATTTCCATTCCTGTTCAGGTTCATGGATTGCAACCATCCTTGCAAGTCTGCAGTCTCAAAGAGCAAAGTTAAAAGAGACCACTCAGTAAAATAATTTCTCTGGGTAACATTTGGCTGAAGAATGTTTTAGTCCTCTAAACCAAAGGATGGTCATTCAATGTTCTAGTCACTTTAGCTGTTCTACACATTAAAAAGCAGTAAGTATTTTTAAAATTATCTCAGTGAAATAAGGCTTGTTTTTTGTGCAAGTCATTCTAATGATTAAACTCTCCAACAGGTAAAGTAGACTGCCAGGTGAAGGTTTTTAAAAACTTATAATCCATTTTTTATAAAGAAGGAAAATACAACAAGGTTAATAAAGCATTGTTGGGTGCTAAAGTCTTCAATTCATACAATTTTTCTGCTTGCTTCAGGTTTAGAAAGATGCTATATAGCCAGGCTTGGTGATCCAGCCCTTGGTGGTACAAATGGTTTTGTATGAGCTGAATGGATGAATGTCTGAGGACTCCTGAGTGATGCTTTCAACTTAAAAATTATTACATTTGACAAGCATCTAAATAATATCTTCTTAACAGCTAGTTCAGGTCTTAAAGAAGACTACTTATTACAGAAATTAATTCAAAGTAGTTCTCTCTAGATCCCATGTTAATTGTTTTGAAGACTACGCTAATCTGTGGGGTTTTTTTTTCTCCAGGAGTAAGTTCACATTAGTATACTAATATATAATACTAAATGTCTCATTCACAAATTGCAAGCGCTCCCAGTTTGTTGTGTTTTAATACTGTGTTGAGGGTTTTTTTCCTGTGTAATAAGCAATCACAGGACTCACTTTGTGTATCAAACACAAATTCTCTGTGATATCAAAACCTCAGAAAATTAAAATTCTTCTCAATACTATGCAGATAAGACAATATTGTAAATTCTTAATTTTGATGCAACATCCTCAAGGAATACCTGTGTGTAAAGGGAAAAAATATGAGTCTGAGTAGTTCTTCAGATTTTGTTGCTAAGTGTTATTAACAGTTTGAGTGTTGTGTCCTCTGGTGGATTTTGTGTGTGGCTCATGATGAGTTGTGCTGAACTCTGACTTCCCTCAGCAATGCTGAGTGCATTCCTTCACATAAATCAGTGAAAAACTTTAATGTTACTAGAAACCTTCCTCTAAAGAAAGAGAATCAGAGTTCAAAAAACTATGTTTGACACCTTAGTAATATTAAATTGCACCTATTTGTATAGAAATGGAGACAATGGTGGGGATTCCATTATAAACTGCCCTACTGGGGTTTGATCTGTACAAATTGCCATTGGATTTCAGTGCCAAGTCCTTAAGCAGTGGGTGATTATTTAAACAACTCCAAACCTCTCCAATGAACTTCCCATTGCTGTCAGTATTTACTCCCTCCTGTTCCCAGGAGACCCATCTGTCTGGCTGCTTCAGGTTGTTTCTAGCAAGCTGTATTTTCTGAGGTGTCCATGGCAAACCAATGTTTTAATTTTGATGAGCCAAACTAATTCCAAAGTGTTTTTACATTGCTGAGGTCTTGTGTAAACTTACACTAGTTCAGTGAAGTGAGTATATAAATGTGTATAAAGGATTTTATTTTATTATGGTTTATTTAGGATCTACTTTAAAGGTCCTCCTAATTAGATGTAGTTAGCATTACTCTTTAAAATAGAAAGAAGAGGAATTACCAGTTTTTTACCAACCTTAACTAAATCTTTGACAATGTATCATTTTCAGAGTAAAGAGCTAAGGAAAACATAACTGCAGCAGATCAGAATTATTTTGCTTGAGGAAGAAAAGTTGAAGTGATGAGCTGTAGAGTGGATTCTACATGTAAGTGATTTCTCAGACTAGTTCATGTGAAAACAAGGTGTTTCTCAAGCAGCTTGTGCAAGTAAGAATAAGGAAATAAATATTAAGAAGGTTGTGAAAACTGACAAGCACAGGAGGAAAAATCTTCCTGATATTTAAGAGCTGAGTAGTGTTAGTATCTACAGCTATGCATCAGATTTATGGACACTATATTTTTGTAATATATAAATTTAGGTATGGAATATCTTTGTCCACTTAAGTCAGATTAGACACCAACCACTGACTTAAGACCTGGTCATATTTGTAAGACTTGTCAGACTAGTTTGCTGTAGTCTCCTAGTAAAAACACAACCTATATCAGATCCATAAATAAATTGTATTTGTAGAAATGCACTTTTTTTTTAAGTATTAATGCTGCAGGTAATGTTTGTGGGGTGTATTATCTATTACACCAATATAATGTTTTAAGTAGAAAGAAGGTGCTAGCACAAATCTGGATTAGCTGTTACATACAGCAAACTTTTATTTTGTGGAATGTGTCTGACTACTACAAGTATTTAATCAGCTTCACAGTCTTAAGTATGTTTCCAGCTTTCAAACTGGAACAGTCCAGCCCGTTGTTTATCAAACTTGACTACAAATTTTTATCAGCTGAATTACTGTATTGTAGATATGAACTGTTGTATCAAGATGTGTAATTTATTTACAACCTAAGAGAGAAGCTCTTGCCTATTCATGTTGTGCTGGCTGGCCTCATTTCAAATAGTTTAAATTTAATCATTTTCTAATGCTTTTCTTCCATAAAAGCAATTATGGCTATTGTAAACATCAACAAAAATGGATTGGACATTAAAATGACTGAATATTTTGTATGCTTGGAGGCTATTTATCAAGACTATTCTAACAGGTATAATTGAAGTTACATTGCTTTATATAAATAGTCTTTATCAGTTTTAACATCTTGTTGGCTGGTTTGTGAACACTGTTGGCTTGCAGAGTTTCAGCAGCATAATTTAGAGTGATACTTCATTTAGAGGAGGAGAATTGCACTTAACTAATGGTTTTAAACAGGACGGTTAGTGAATCTTTAAAACTGCTCGGAGGTCTATCTCATTGTAATGTAAGTAGTTTTTTTGTGGGGAACATTTAGGAATCAGTCTGCAGAGTTTCATAGTAAATGCAACTTGACATGCCCCATCACTGCTGTTGGGAAATATACCAGATCTGTTCTGAGCAAATGTCATCCCATGAAAAATATCTATTGGAATCATCTAGAAAATGTTGTTATAAATCTGTTACAGCTACTGAGAAATCATTATTAGGTAATAATTTCTTGATTTATCTGGTAAGAAATAAACAAGTAAACGAAAATTGTTATATTGAAGTTCCAGTGGGTAACTTACTAGGCCTGGCTTGTACCCAGAACTGTCTGGCTCTTGCTTGGACTTTTGGCAGCACTGTGTAGCACAAGATAATCCATGTGTCTCTGTTCTG